AGAGCTTCATTCTGAATACATTGATTTGTACTTGTAGATACCAGAGCTGATTTTGGCTCTAGGGTTTGGCCCAGATGTCTCTGACTACAAAGGATATTCAGTAAGTATAAATTATTGTCTGATGAACTATTCCTCTGGTCCTATTTTAATGTTTAATTTCTCAAATCCATTTGAAAATTTCAGAGAAATAAAGGCTGACTTCTCAAAAATAGTTCAAGTAGGAAGTCTTGATAAAGGTAAACCAGCTAGCTTGTAAAAGGCAGCTGGGGGGACCTTATAATCCCCAGGCTGTCCAAACATGCTCTTTTGACTCTTTGCCAACACATTCATTGAATTCTGCAAACCTTACTCACAGTGCAAATACTTCCATTTCTAAATCACAGGTACAAGGAGGTCTGTGGGATTCTAATATCTAAGTACAATGTAATAATTTCAAGCACAACATAAATACTGATTCAAAACAAACCTCACAAAAAACCCAATATGATGCTGATATCTTCAAGATTCATAATCAGGAATATCTGCTTCTAAATAGGCCAAGCCAAAAGAGTGTTTTTTTTGTCTTGCAAATAGGGTGTTTGAAAGGATATTTGGGTCTCTGATGTCCCTAGCTTTTCCCTGCAGTGAACTCCCACTCTAGTCATTGTGCATCTCCTTGGGTAAACACTGCACACTGTACCTGTGATGTGTCCCAGTGAGGTGCTGCAGCCTGGCAGTGTGGCTTGCTTGGATGCTGATGCCTTTTTTGAACTTCTGAAGTTTTTCCAATATAAATAAACCTCGGGACTGATGGCTCACCAGGCTAACGTTCAAAACTGTAAATGCTTTGGTTGCTCCTTTTGTTAGTTTGGCTGGAGGCAATTTCTGAGCAAGCTGGGTATTAAAACTCAGTGCTGTTGCTTCTCAGACTCCATGCTCTGATATCTGCTATTGCATGTCTCTTCTGGCTGGAGCCTCCTCACTCTCAATCCAGTGGTTCTGAACTCCAGACATCCATGGGGTCATGGTAGGTGCTCAGTAGCTGGTTGTTGGTGGGGGCTGATAGGAAAAACTACAGAGTGGTTGGTGATACAAAAATGTTGGGAGCTGCTGTGTTGGGCAGCCTGGAGAACAAGTTCAGAGAAGCCTGGGGTGGAAGGTTTGGCATATGCCACAGACTGTAGCCAATTTATTTGTAGTCAAGAGTTTGTAGGGAGTACAGAATCAGGCATTACCAGTAGGCACACAGTTTGTGGTGACTGGGATGGGGCTGTGGCTGAACCTGATTCCCAATGGGCTACAGCTGTGAGCAGCAGGTGAGCAGCATTTACACAATGAGCCATGGAGTGCTGACCAATCACCAAAGGGAACAGAGGGCACACAGGTGCAATGCATCAACATGAGGGTATAAAAGATTGGGCTGAAAAAAAGAAGGGCAGTTGCTTGCAGCCTTCTGAGGGGAGGTTATGGTACTCTGTGTGGGCAGATGCCTGAAGCCTTCTGATGTGGTAAGGTGTTATTTTGTATGGGCATGCTTAAAGCTTTTTGAAATTGCATTTTGATACTCTGTATTGTAGCCATCTCAACTGTGGCATGTGCTGTGGCACTTACCCTTTACAGATTTTGGACATGTGTATGAAATTTCTTTCTTAGAGAAGCTTTCACCACTTTCCAAATTTTTAACTTGTTCAAAATTTTCAGTTTATGGTCTGTAGAGGACCTGTTCGCTGTACTGAGTATGGTTCCTACTGTGTGTAAGAAAAGTGTTTGCAAGGCCCAGGAGGGATTATCTCCCTGCCTGTTGTTTACCCAGGGTGTTCTGGCTTCTTCCAGTGCTGCTCTTGCCATTGCTCCCTGCAGGAGTCCAGGTGCTTGCCTTAGGGGTTGGCCAGTGCAGAGCTTCAGTGCGTGAAGTGCTCAAGGGAATCTCCATCCACCCCCATCGCTCTCCAGAAGGCTGAAATAATTGTGCTGACATTGCTTTTCACACTGTACAGAGCCCTTTCCTTCCACTTGTAAGGGTTTTTACATGTAACTTGCAGGATGAGCTGACAATAGACATATGAATTGTTTACATGATGTATGAATTGTTTACTTACCTGCCACAAACCAACCATGATCTTTTTGCAACTTGGTAACAGCAGTGCACAAGCCATTTATTGGAAGATGAATTAGTCATCAGGCACTATATGAGTGCAGTAAAAGAATAATTATAAAGAGAGGTCAGATGTTGAGTGTCAGCAGTAGAGCATGAGAATTTTCTAACATGAAGGCTGAGGTCAGTATTCTGGAATTTCTGAGCAGAGATAGCCACAATATTTACAGGACCCCTGCAAGTGGGTACAGTTTCATCCTGCCAGGCCTCCATCTCTTTTTCTTCTGCTTGGTTTTATTTTTTTTTTCCAAAGTAGCCATTTAAACTCATGCTGTTATTTTTAAAAGTCCCAGTAGGGCCAGCCTGCTGGATGCTCTTGACTGTGCCTGCTGTCTCTTGGGTAGTTGCTTGCTTTGTGTGCATGGACATGTCCACCACCTGGGAGCTCTGAGTTTCAGAAGGTTTTAGAGTTGATATTCCTCAGGTATCACATTGCAATACACTTGGAAACATGTTTCTGAAAGTTGGGAATAGTTATAGTCAGGTTTCTGACTTCCAAAGTTCTTTTTATTTACTTTTTTCTTTTTTTAAACCTCCCACTCTAATGATGTCTGTGTTTCTTACAGTTTACGTTTATTTGTTATGCATTTAAAGTCTTTGAGAAAGGTTGATTTGCAGTGCAGTCTAATTAGAATACATACGTTTGGTGGAATATGCAGTTTAATACAATTGTGGTGTGGATTTTGGGTCTTGCAGTTGTTTGCAGACATCTTTAATGATTCATCTTTCTGTAGTGTGACACTTCCCAATATGATGGCTTCCTTACATGCAAATATTTTTTAGAATGGTCTCATATTACAATAAATAAATAAAAAAAAAAAACTACCCATGATAGCATGTGCATAATTTTTAGTGGCTGACCTGGTATCTGCCACTAAAAGGTATGACCCTGCTGACCTGAGTTTCTCACACCAAAGCACTCTGTTGTACAAGATGGAATAACTCAAATGAGCATTTGATCTTATGAATTTAATAGGCAGTCATTTCCCCTAATTTAAACTTGGTTGGCCCATCATTAGTTTTAAGAAGTAATAGTGACTGTACACAGAATATTTCAATTGAGTGTGCTGCAGAGGGCTGCCTTCTTTCAGGACAGATCCTTGTAGTGATGTGCTGGTAGTCACTGTGCTGTGTTTGCATGCTAATCAATGAGCTCAGGAAGCATTAAACTCCAGAAATCCTCAGCTATCTTCTGGAGAACAAATTTGATCTTTGATACTCAGGGGAGAAACTTCGGGAGCATAAAGCCTTAAGTGTCTCTGCCTAGCATTTTGATTGCTACTTAGACGTGTTTTGTAGGTCTGGTGTTAAAAGCCTTTCTTTAAGATATGCAATGCTTAATAAAGAGAATTTTGAACTAACTCACTGTGGTATTTTTGCACAAAGCTGCATGGCCTGGAAGCAGTGAAACATGCATTGCACTTGTTTCATCAGGGGATAATGTTTTAATAGCCCCTCTGTACTAGCACTACAGGAAAGAATTTGCTTTGCTGTGATGCGTTCTTGCATTAGTGATGAGTATTTGCTGGTTTTGTGTTAAGAGTATCTTCCCTTTCAGACTATTTTTCAGGAATGAAGTTACAGGATGCTTAACTTTTCATCATAGTAATTTATTTTGGCTTTGTGTGTTCAGGCTAAAATATCCCCACTGCTAACAGTGATGGAGGCAGGTATTGATCAGGTTAATTTTGGAGTCTCCATGGCCTTGGAGAATCAAAGGTGCTAACAGGTTGCTGTGTGACGCAGAGGCTTAACAAGGTTCAGGGCTTCACACCAGTTTGTCCTGCTCAGAAAAGCATCTTATCTATGGCAACAACTGCTACTGAGAAAAAACTGGGGATTTTTAATAGGGTAAATCTCCTGTTGTGCAGATTTCTGAGTTTCAAATGCCAGCTGTTAGGGAGGCAAAAGCTTGATGTGGGCTGGGCTTATTGGCATTGTTATTGTTGTATCTGTGCTGTGACATGGTGAAGGACAAACCAGAGTATCCCAAGGCACTCAGGAGAGGAGATGAGGAGAAGCAGAGAGACAATATGTGGCATTCAGCCAGTGCCCAGCCTGCTGGCCCCAGCCCTCGGTCCGTGGCCCCAGATGCTACAGCCAGTCTAAGACCTGCAGAACTCACCACAGCTTTGGGCTGTGCGACTCATTGGATTTCAGTGCCTCAGCTTCTGGCTGTGCAGAAGGGATATCCTTGCTGTGTAAACCAAGGTGCAACACGGCACCTGCTGCTGGGGCCAGTGGGAACAGTGCCACTAACCTGACTCACCTGCCGAGACCAGAGAGGGACACCATGCTCCTGGGGGGTACCAGACCCTCCTCGCCTGCTGGAGACAGTGGCTGGTGCTGTGTGGGATTTGGGGGGCAGTGTCCAGTGTGCCCCACGTCTGGCTGGGATCCCGATGGGGGTGCCAGTGACAGGGGTGAGCATTCAGGCTGGGATGCTCGTGGAGGTGCCAGTGCAGGGGTGACCAGCCAGGCTGGGTGTCAAGGGCTTGCTTGGATGCCCAGCACAGCAGTGAAGGTGTGTCAGGCCGCATTCCCAGTCCCTGATGGAGGTATTCCTGCTAGCTGCCCCTTTACTTTCTGACTCCTGGGCTGCTCTCCCTCCCCAGCCCCGGACAGGGCTCCTGCCTGGGTTTCTTGGCCACCTGCAGAAGGGTGAGAGCCGGGAGCGAAGCTGCGGGCACTCGCATCCTCAACAGGCACATGCGAGCAATGTGCCTTTAAGACTAGCAGGAGAGCAATAGTATCTCCCTCCCTCCTGTTAATTGTAGCATGTTTTCAGCCATGCTTCCCAGTCACATTCGCAGGCTGTGAGCGGGAGCAGCGCTGCCGCTCTCCAGCCGGTGCCAGCGGGCAGCGCCGTGCCCGGAGCCGGGCGGGTGATGGGGCAGCGCCCGGGGCCGCAGAGCGCCGAGCCACGAGCAGCAGCCTGACCCTGCTGGGCTCGCACATCCCTCCTGCTCCTCTCGTGTCCTGCACCTGCCCGGCCGTGGCCTCCAGCCGCAGGGTCACACACCCCTGAGCAACCCACCCTGCGGGGCTCCTGCGGGAGCTCCGAGCGGTGCTCGGCTGGACCTGGGGATCTGCAGCGGGTGATGCAGTGTGGTGCCTGCCTGGGGATGCTGGGGGCTGCTCTGGGAATGCCTGGCTCCCCGAGCGCAAAGTGACTGCAACTAACACGAGCTTGGGACTACTTCTGGGAAGATGCCCTGCGTGCCTCCGGTCATTCCTCTCCGGCCTCAGCGCAGAATATTTGGAGTTGCTAGCCTCCTTCTGTCGAGGGGGGACAAAGGCAGAGGCCTCCAGAGGGTTAAGAGCATCTGCTTTTACGCCAAGTGTTTGAGCAGGAAATAATCTGCAGAGATACATGTGCAGCAATTCAACTGCTGCTGCTCTGCCAGGCTGCCGCCGCTGCAGTTGGGGCTGGGAGAGGAGCCGTGCTGCTCACAGAAGATGCTTTCTTGGTGTGTCCGGAGCTCCAGGCATGGCAGCAGAGCCCCGGCTGTCTGAGCTGGGGTAAATGTCTCCAGCCAAGAGGAATTATGTTGGCTTGCTTTCTCTGTCGGCTCACGGAGGTAGGTGCTGCTGCCTGTGCAATATGCTGTGATCTGTTCTGGGGGATACAGTGTTCTCCTTGGTCTGGGGTATACAATTTTTAAAAATTGTCCATGGGAACAGGGCTTAATTTGTAATCTATAATGCCAGACAGAAAATACGTGTGTGATTTCTTTGTGTGCAGCAGGGAGGAGAGGGCACAGGATGCCTGAGTGATACCTTTTCTGACTGGCAATAAAGTTGTTGCACTTAATTGGAACAAACTACCCTGTGTCTCAGTAAAATACACCTGGGAGCTTTTACTTCTTCCTGCTATATGACCTTTCCATGAGGTTGGCTGCAGTATGCTGGGTTATGCTCTGGTTCAGAAAGTGGGACACAGTGCACTCTACAGGTCCCTTCATTCTGCTCCTGTGGACGTGGGGAGGACAGAGGGCACCCACGCAGGGAGGGAAAATGCTGCTGATGGGGAGCTGGTGTTTTTTTGAGGAGTGAAATTACACTAAGAGGAAGAAAAAAGGTGATGATCTTCCCTGAGGAAGAGGGAATGTTGAGGTCCTTAAGGGTTGATCTTGATGTTCGGAAGTAGAGAAGGAAATTTGTTTTAGAAGCAGCTGTGTATGAGTCTGGGATTTGTATTTTGCTTTCCCAGCCCTGTGGAGAGGAGTTTTGTTCAACTCTAACTACTTTACCACCCTGAACCTTTGCTTGAGGATTTTTGTACCAGTACCTGGGAGAAAAAAATCAGTCAGTGCCATCAAATTTACTTAGGCTTGTTTTGAAAGTTGCCTTCTTGAGAAATCCCTAACAAAATCAGCAGCAGCTAATACTGTTACCTTCTCACCATCAGGGCATGCTCTTTCTGGTTTGTCTTGAGACCTCCAGTGGGAGTTTTATTCTGTAAAGATTCAGCTGAAGGAAATTTTCCAGTTTTCTGGAAAAGCAGAGTGTTGGGTATTGGATACCTCTGATTTTGTTGGCCTGGTTGACCCACATATGTAGGTTTGCTTGTTGGCTCCTGAGTGCAGACCTGAGCAGAAAAGGAAGGGGCTGCCTGGATTACACACCTGCATCACATGGAGAGTGGTTTGTGTTTGCTCCTGGCCTTGCAGAGCTATTGATACAGCACAGCCAACGGTGCCATTGCTGTGGAACAGTTTCAGAAGTGTTTCTGTGGCACCCTGGCAGAACAAATGTGTCATTTATGATTGCACTCATCAGGAGAAAGAGCAGCACTGTCATCTGCACTGTGAATCTCTTTAGTCACTTTTGTTTTCTTTGCTCAGGTAGCAACACATTCCTAACTGGAATGTGTGGCTACCTGAGCATTTTTGTCAGAGCGTTTGTAATTGCCTCCTCAGTTTCCCCAGGGCTGCTGTGCTGTTTGACTCAGCACTGACATCTCATAGTGAAGTCTGGAGTAGAATCCCCCTGCCTTTTTTTCTTCCTTTTTTTTTTTTTTTCTCCTGTAATTTGGGCCCAAATGCAGTCAAGAACACATTTCCTTCTCTTTTTGCTAGAACAGGACACTTGTGTGTCCCCCTCTGGGATCCTGTTGAGAAAACCTCTCTGCTCTGCAAGCCCTCTGTGATGGAGGAGTAGAAGTGGGTCTGGTGGATTTGTTGTTGTGCATGAATGGAGATCCATGCAGGGATGGAGGCTGTGATGATACCTGGGAAGCAGCTGCTCTCTCTGTCCCGAGAAAGAGGATCCGTTCTTACCCACACACCAGGTGATATCCAGTGCTCCGTAGCAACTCTCATTTCTCCCACAAAGAGGAGGAAAATCTCCTGGCTTCACTTGGAGTGGTGAAAACACAAATGTACGAACATTCAGTGGAGTCTCACCAGTGTGGAATTGGTATAAGGTCATCTGAATGACTTCTGTCTAAAACAGTGCTTATAAAAGGTGGTGGGCATTAAGTAACACCATTGTCTGTGCAGGAAACATTAGAAAAGAATATGTATTAGTCATCCCATTTACTGCTGTTTGCACACAGACAGAATGGTGATTAGAACTGCCTGAATCAAAGCAAAATGGTTCTTAAACAAGATTTCAAAATTGGATTGGGCACTTGCTGGCCAGCAATTATTTCGGTCATCATTGTGCCTCTATTCCAGCAACTGTCTTTTGTAAAAGGTCCTTCTACAAGAACAGCAAAATGTTGGGGCATATTTCCATTTGTGTTCTGAAGAAGTGGATGGGAATATCTTCCTTACTACCTTACTTGTATCTGCTTAGGAAATCAAACCAGTGGTATTTGAACCACTGATTATTTCTGATCAGCCTTTCTGGTCAGCACTAAAGTTCTGCATTAAACTCTAACTATGTGGAAGTTGAGAGTTATTTGTTAGGGTTAATAATGGTAACTTAAAAGATTATAATTTATTAAATGGGAACTGGACAGTGTTTTGTGTCACACATGCTGTTCTGATCACCTTCCCCTGACAGTGACATTCTGCCCACCCTGGAGACTGAGGGCAGGGACTCCCTCTGTGCCCCTCTGCAACAAGGGGCTAAATTTGATGTTCTTATGGGCCCAGTGCTGACCTGGCAGCAGAGATGCTGGGATCTCTGCAGGTTTGCCCTTTGGGAGGCAATGCCTGCCCTTATCCATGAGGTGCTGTGGCTGCCCGGCCATGCTGGAATAGCTGGTGAGTCATGAGCTGCTCATCAGTCACAGGTGGCCAGGAGATGGGTAACAGACAGGCCAAAGAAATAACTGTTTGCCAGGGAGTGATTCCCTGGTTTCTGCAGGGATTTAAACAAGGGCCTGTCTTTAGGTACCTGCACTATTTCAGCAACCATTGCATTTTTATGGTTTGTGTGCTGCTTGTAAACCAGCTACAGGTGAGTAAAGCCTGTGGTCCAGAAACTGTTGAGTTGGAGATAAAACTGTTCCTTTCTGAGGGTGCCTGGAGTGTCTTTAAGAGACTGCATTTGAAATCTATCTGGCTTTGTACCACTTATAAAATGCATTCACGGTAGGTGGTGGCATCAGTCTCCTCTTAGTGAATGCAGATATTTATATTATGCAAAAGGTTTTCTCACTTTGCTAGATTCAGATGATGACTGGAGATCATTCTTGTTAGATAAAAAACTGAGTCTGACTTTAGAGGTGAATTCAAAGAGCAATTTCTATTTAATATATATAGCAACAAATAGGAACAAAGCTGCTTAAGGAGTACTTTAATGATGAATCATTATATTGCTCTCACCAGTCTGAAAGGCAATAAAAGTAAAAATGGAGTGCTAGGATGTAGTTGCTTAGAAAATGTACAGAAAGGGATCTCTATTGTTGAGTGGGTTTTACAACATATCAAAGAAATGTTTTGAGGTCCAAAATTATCAAGTGTCTTTCCACCTCAAAGATGAGACAGCTGCTATCTATTGTTTATTGTTCCAGAAGGTCATTTTCTTTAGTTGTGACTAACCAAATTTAATAATTTATTGCTTTTTAAAAAATCCTGATTCCCCCACCCCCGGATCAGGACAGATGCTGTCATAATGCTCCTTCAATGCTGTAATTTTTATTACCAATCCTAATTAAATGCTGTAACTTCTGAAAATCAGATTAATTTGAACCATCAGCCCAGTGTAAATGCTGCTATCATCAGAGATCATAAAATGTTCAAGGCACCATAATTCTACTACATAGCTGTAGTGGCAAGTGTCCAAGGATCTGGCTACCTTTGTTCAGCTGACATGGGCTGAGATGTGATCACTCCTGAGCAGTGCAGCATGAATAGGAATGATACATTCCTCAGCTGGTGAATTGCACATTCTAGCCATAAGTCAACAAGCATTAGAGAAATGGCATCACCCCCCCATCACTGTGATGCTCCTCCTGTGCTATAAATATTGTATGAATTCTGCACAATCAATAAAGGGGAAAATAGAGGTGGGAGGTGGCTGCACAGCAAAGCTGCACTTTAGTGGTGAGCCAGGACATGATACAGAGCAGCCCCACTGCCAGCCAAGGTTTTTCCATCCTTGGGCTACAGTCCATGAATTCAAGTTGCACAGTGACTACTTCAGCTAATTTGCTCTACAGCCAGGACACGCTCTGATCACCACTTTGGTCTTCTGGACAGCAGGACACGTTCTGGTTCCTTTATGACCAATTGGTTCCTTTATTACTAATTTCTGTATTTTGTTTTTTTTTTTCCTCCACCAATATTAGGTAAGAAGTAATATATTTTGATTCCAGCTCAAGCAGTGGCAAAGTTGTTCTCTTTACTCTGTCCCAGCTTTATTTGTTAGGTGTGACAGTGTGGAAGATCTCCGTGGTCACTACAGATATAATTACCTGGCTCTGACAGAGACAAGAGCATTAATCTGACACTGCAAGCATTGGCGTTGGAGCTTTGTGTTTAGATTTTCTTTGCAGCAGAGAAAAAAGCCCTCTGAGGGAACCACTACCCTGTCTACAGCAAGATGAGAAGAACTGAAGGCTGGAAATGCCCAGTCCTTTCCAGTCCCATGGATGGTGCCTGCATGGCTGGCTCAGGGCTGGGTGAGATGAACCCCCCACAACAGCAGCTGCTCTCAGGCCACATTCAGCAAACCACCAGCCCCACCTGGGGTGCTCCAGGCTCCTTTGGTGGAGGATCTGGCCCTGCAGGTTGAGCCCTGCCTTGCTGAATTGAGTGTGTTTGTCAGTGCCTGTGATGGAGTGGGGCTGTGGAGTGTGTGCTGCTCTTTGCTCCTGAGCATCCCAAGAGCTGGTGTTGTTCTGTTTCTGCTCACTGGAACCCAATACTGCCGCTTGATTCCATATCTTTCATTGGCATTGCTGGTCATGCTTCCTGTTCAATAGCAATTTTAGCTACCAGACTTGTATGTTCCAGGCTTTATGGTGAAACCAAAGAGGCAAATCTGTGTCAGTTACAGACTGAAAATTCATGTTTGTGTCAGTGGGTGTTGTGGATCTTGTGCTCCTGCCCACTTCCCAAGACCTTGACTGTGTGCAGGCAGTTACTGCTGCAGAGAGAAGACCAGCAGAGTGGGATTTGTGCCA